TGTGGGTTGTTGACTAAGATTTAGGAACGCTATCAACAAGAACTTCTCACCACCTTTCTAAGAGACATGAATGACGTTTACCGGGGAGTGAAATCTCAAATCATGGTGATGACCCCGCTGCCTAAAGTATGGAGAGTTTGTTATCTTGTTCAACAACAAGAGTGAGAGGCTTTCTACGGGAATACTGGTCTTGGGCGTATTGAAGACAATTCAAGTATGGTTATTGTTGCTGGACCGCCAGGATCGTCAGGTAAGTCTTTTCAACGCAAGTTCAATTCCACCAATAATAAAAAGGTTGTTTGCAGTTTTCGTGGTTATACGAGACATACCGTAGACAAGTATTACCAGATACATGGATATCCTCTGGGTTTTAAAAGCCGAGGTAAACAGAATAGTAATCAAAGGCTTACTTCAAACTCTCTTGGTACTTTGTCTAATTTAGATGGTTCTACAAAAGGTCCCAGATGGTTGTTTTAACGTTGCAGTAAATTCTGACTTTGGGGATGAAAGCAAGGTAAATGCTATTATTAGTTCTGGGAACCCTCAAAATTTACATTTACATGCTAGTGCTCAATCAAGTAAGATGAAGAGTGCTGTTTATACCACATTTCGGCCCATGCAGGATGATGATAAGAGTAAACATTTTTCTTTATACACTGATTGGATATTTGATAATGGTGCTACTGATCACATAATAAACTCTGTTTCGGGTCTTTTTAATTCTTTTTGAGTTCAAAACTTTTCTGTGGTTTTGCCAACTGGGAGCAAAGAAATTGTTACACACATAGGTTATGTTAAATTAAACGAGCATATTAGCCTCAAAGGTGTGTTGTGTGTTCTAGGTTTTGAGCTTAACTTGATTCCAGTAAGCAAATTAGCCAAAGATTCTGGTTGTAGTTTGTCTTTTTTTCCTGACTATTGTGTGATTCAGAGGGGTAAGGACCAGAAGGAGATTGGTTTAGTTAAGGAGGACAAAGGACTGTACTGGCTTCTTTTAAATAAAAGGGAGATGCATGCAAATTATGCACGCTCTTTTGGGTTACTTCTTCTACACAAGGTTTTGATATTTGGCACTATCGCTTAGGTCATGCTTCATTTCGTCGAATAAAACAATTGCATAATGAGTCTATAAATTATGATTCCAATTTTGTTTGTGAGATTTGTCATTTGGCTAAACAAAAACGACTAGCTTTTCAAGTTAGTGAAAGTGTTATTAGTCAATGTTTTGAATTGATTCATGTAGATATTTGGGGTCGTTTTCATATCCCTTCGATTTATGGGCATCGGTTTTTTCTTACTATAGTAGATGATCACAGTTGTATGAATTGGGTATGTCTCATGAAAACTAAGGCAGAATCACGCGCGTGTTTGCAGAATTTTATTCAATATGTTGCTACACAATTTTCAATATGTGTGCATTGTATTCGAACTGACAATTGATTTAAATTCAAAATGAAAGAATTTTATGCTTCAAAAGGAATTGAACATCAAACGTCTTGTGTTGAAACTCCACAGCAAAATAGTGTGGTGGAACGCAAGCACCAACACATTTTAAATGTAGCAAGAGCGGCTACGATTTCAAGTTTCTTTACCTGAAATTTTTTGGACTGGTTGTATTGTGCATGTTGCGTATTTGATTAGTAGGCTTCCTTCTCCTATGATGCTAACTGAACTCCTTTTGAAATTCTTTTCGGTAAAGCGGCAAATTATGATAACTTACGGGTTTTTGGGTGTTTGGTAAGTAATGAAAGTGGTGATGTTTCTGCAAATTTTCATACTAACCAGCGTGTCTTGCATGATGACTAGTCTAGTGCTTCTACAAACCAAACAAATATTCTTGAGCAAAGTACAACAGATATTGGTACTTCTGATCCCCCTATTTCCAGGTTGCGTAGGTCAACATGTACTCGAACTACACTATCATATTTGAGGGATTACCACTGCTACTTGGTGCGAAATGGTTTACCTACTTCTCGTGTCTAACTCCAAAACACACCACACTTGTTGCAGCATGTTATTTCTTATTACAAGCTTTCTCCTGTACACAAACGGTTTGTGTTAGCTACTTTCAGTGAAGTTGAACCAAAGAATTACAATGAAGCTATTCAATTCAAATGTTGGCGAGATGCCATGCAAGCCGAGTTGGATGCCTTTCAAGCGAACAATACTTGGGTGTTAACCACTCTACTGCAACATAAACGAACTATAGGTTGTAAGTGGGTTTACCGAGCTAAATTTTATGCCGGTGGTTCGGTCGAGAGGTATAAAGCCTATCTTGTTGCAAAAGGCTACACTCAAACTCCGGGCTTGGACTATTTACATACTTTTAGTCCAGTCGCTAAAGTTACTACGATTCGTACCTTGTTGGTTGTTACTGCAATTCAAGGATGACATCTTCATCAACTTGATGTTAATAATGCTTTCTTGCATGGCGATTTGCATAAGGATGTTTATGTGTCTTTGCCTCCAGGAGTTGAACCTGAAAAGCAAGGACAAGTTTGCAAGCTTGTTAAATCTTTGTATGGTTTTAAGCAGGAAAGTAGACAATGGAATGCAAAGTTGACTGAAGAACTTGTCCATCAAGGTTTTTCGGAAGCCTCGTCTGATCATTCTTTATTTACTAGAGGGTTTAGGGCATCTTTTATAGCCTTGTTAGTCTATATTGACGACATTCTTGTTGCTAGTCCTGATTTTTGTCGAATTCAAGAGCTAAAGAGTCATCTTCACGCTACCTTTGATATTAAGGATTTGGGCTCACTAAAATACTTTCTAGGTTTGGAGGTGGCTCGTAGTCATGAAAGGATAAATCTTTGCCAATGAAAATATATATGCTTTTGAGTTGTTAGCCGAGATAGATTTTTTGGGTAGCAAGCCAGTTGACAGTCCGATGGTTCTTTCTCCTAAACAACTATATGTTGATAGCCCTGTTTTAGCCGATGTTATTTCTTATAGGCGCATAGTTGGGAAGTTGCTCTATTTAACTATCACAAGGCCAAATATTGCTTTTGTTATGCAACAACTGTCCCAATTCCTTGATGCTCCAACAGAAGTTCATTTGTAGGCTGCGCATAGAGTCCTCCGGTATATTAAAGGCTCACCTGGTCAAGGTATTATTGTTTCGGCTAAGTCAACATTACAAATACGTGGTTTCTTGGATTCTGATTGGGGTATTTGTCTCAAAACCAGATGGTCTGTTACTGGTTATTATATTTTTCTTAGGGACTCTTTAATTTCATGGACGTCTAAAAAAAAAAGAAACCATGTCTAAGTCTTCTTCGGAGGCAGAATATCGTGCGTTAGCAACCACAAGTTGTGAAATCCAGTGGCTTCTTTTCCTACTAGCTGACTTAGGCAGTACGCTTTCCGCCACATCTGTTCTTTTCTCTGACTGTCAGTTAGCGCTTGTCATTGCCGAAAATCCTATTTTTCATGAGCGTACAAAACATATTGAGATCAATTACCATTATTTTGTTTGTGAACGGATCAAGAAAGGAATTTTGAAAGTTTTGCATGTTTCAAGTGGCAATCAACTTCCAAATTGTTTTACTAAACCACATGATCCCAGATTATTGAAAAGTTTTAAGTCCAAGCTGGGTATTCATTCTGTCTACAATCCAGCTTGAGGAGGGGTGTTGGAGTCAGTCAATAATTTAAGTAACAAGAGGGCCCTATTCTTTTTCATATTTTTTGTTTGTTGCCTGCATGCCATTGTATAAATTTATGCTTCCTGTATTCAGAATTTGTGAGCTTTTGCTGTAAATAAAACTACATTCTTTATTCTTCCTTTTTTGTGAGCTGCAGTATGCTAAGTATTTAACATATATGCTTATAGATTACACATATTTTGACAATATTTGATCTATTCCCACACTTTCTTGCATTTTGAAATGCCAACTCAAATTTTTTTTAAAAAATCTTCTATCTACTCAATTACACACATATACATTTGAAGATTAAAAAAAAATCACATCAACACTACCATTGAAACAAGGTTTTCACTAAAAAGATTTAAGATTTTTGAGAAAAACAAACCTTTCAAAAACCTTTTGAAAGGAGAAACAAGTTAAATTTAGATAAAATAAAATGGTCAAAGTACCTATGAAGTCCTTCTCCATTAGTGTTTTGTTCAATTTAGTCCTTATACCTTTATTTTGTTCAATTTAGTCACTCTACTTTAAAAAGTGGTGAAACTAAGAACAATTGTCCAAATCTCATTCGGAACATGGTTGTAATTATTTATTTTGGACATACTAATTTAATATATTGGTGGTAAAAATAATTAATTTTAAATATTTATAAACTAATATATAAGTAGGAATATAAATATGTCAGTGCCACGTAACCTAAATTAACGGTAATATTAACACCGTTAACTATTGTCCTTAATTGAACCACTTTTGAAAGTACAGGGGCTAAATTGAACAAAATAAAGGTATACAGACTAAATTGAACAAAACGCTATAGTATAGAGACCTCAAAGGTATTTTGACCGAATAAAATAGTCTACAATTATTTTGTGGTGACTTCACTGTAACATCAAGCGATATTTCAAAATAAAAATAAGTTAAATGAGGATAAATGAAATCAAGTTGAAATCCATTTTGATATATTATCTAATTTGTTAACTCCATCTTTAAACCTTTTGCATCAAACTGGAATGATATGAATTTGTAACAAATGCAATCTTTTCTTCAGTAGGCATAGTTATCGCCATAGATTAATTTATTTTTGAATAGGGTAGCAATATCTCTTCCTCACGAGCTCGCACTCTAAATCTTCTTGGTCAGTTGCAAGGTTTAGATCAAAGCGACTCATCCGTGCCAGACTACATCGGCCGTACACAGGTAATCATTGAGGAACTAACTCTGGCCTGCCGAACCGTAACCCTAGGTCGGAGTTCCAGGCATTGACGACCTCTCTTTCCGTTCGAGGTCAACCGGAAAACCTTCAAGAGTTGGCAGACTTCCTCGGCGCTCATGAATTTATCTCCAGCCGGGACTATGGTGGTCCCCCGATGGCGTTTGCGGTTCAACGTGGTGGCGGCAGAAATCAACGTAGTGGTGGAAGAGGCTAGCAGCAAGGTGGCCGCGGCCGTAGCAATAACGGAGGAGGTAATCCGGTCACATGTCAAATTTGTAGAAGGACCCGTCACGAAGAGGTTTCATGTTACAATCGGTATGATCCACCACCTCAGGCCAATATCACCTACCTAAACAATTCAGATATTGGTGGATCTTAGATGTGGATTCCAGACACTAGTGCTACCAACCATGCTACCCCAGATATTGTTGCCTTAGCCACTTCGGAGGAATATATTAGTAACTACACTTTATGTGTCGGTGAGGGTATGGGTTTATCTATTAGTCATGTTGGTCATGCTTCTTTCAATACCCCTTCTCGGTCTTTTTAATTGTCTGATATTCTTCATGTTCCACGTTTGTCCAATTCTTTATTATCTGTTCAAAAGTTTGCATCTGATAATAAAGTCTTTTTTGAATTTTACCCCACTTTTTTGTTGTGAAGGATATCAATACTAATGAGGTTCTTCTTCGGGGCAATAGTTCTGGGGGACTATACACTCTACCGCTGCCAAACACGTCTCCTTCAGTTTTCTTTTCAGCCCGTGCCTCAGCATTGATTTGGCACAATCGTCTAGGTCATCCTCATCATCGTGTTCTCAATTGTATTCTTCAGCCTTCTTGTTCATGGTTCTTTAGTTAGCTCTGCAAATAATTTATGTAATGCGTGTCAGTTGGGTAAATCCGCCTGTTTTCCCCTACCACGTGTTGCTTCCTCTAGTTCGCATGCTCTTGATTTAATTTACACAGACATTTGGGGACCTGCTCCTCTTTTATCTTCAAATGGTTATCGTTACTTTGTAATATTTGTAGATGATTATTCTCGTTTCACATGGCTTTTCCCTATGAAATTGAAGTATGATCTTTATGCCATATTTGATAAGTTTCGCATACTTGTTGAAAGGTCATTCAATTGCAAAATAAAATCCATTCAATATGACCTAGGTGCTGAATATAAAAAATTACACAACTCTTTTGTCCAATTAGGAATCCAACATAGGCAATCCTGTGCATATACACATGAACAGAATGGTCGTGTTGAGCGTAAGCATCGTCACATTGTTGAAACTAGTCTAGCTCTCCTAGCCTAGGCTTCTGTTCCATTAAAATTTTGGTATTTTTCTTTTGAGACAGCCACTTATTTAATTAACAAAATGACATCTTCTGTGTTAAATAATTCCAGTCCCCATCATTTGTTGCATAAATCTCCTCCCTCCTACTCTTTTTTTCGTGTCTTTGGTTGTTTGTGTTATCCTCATCTTTGTCCATACAATCGTCACAAAATGTCATACAGATCTTTCCCTGTGTCTTCTTAGGTTATCCGGATTCCTTTAGGGGGTATATGTGCATGGACCTTCATACTAACAAGATTTACACATGCAGGCATGTCAGATTTGATGAAGAAATTTTTCCCTTTGCTACTAAATCTCCTTTAATGGATTTTTCTCGATATCATGAAGCTCCGTGGGTGGAATATGTTTGGACTCATCAACCCACCACTATGCCCTCGGATGCCGTTCCCCACCATGATCCTCCAGATCCGCAGCCGCCTGCCGACGTTTAGCTGGACGTTTCTGATGATTCCGTCACGGCCTCGGCTGACGTCGCGGCTCCACTGCTGCAACGGCGAGGGCACCCTCGCTGTCGGTCCACCAGGCCTATCGAACGGACTCATTCTATGGCTACTCGCAGTAGTTCGGAATCACCACTTATGGCTCTATCGACTCAGGTTTGTCCTACAGAACCCATATGTTATTCTCAAACTATAAAATATCCTGAGTGGCGTGATGCTATGGACCAAGAATTCATTGCTCTCTTGCAAAATCAGACTTGGGCTCTAGTTCTTCCCACCACAGGTATGAATGTTATTGGTTGTAAATGGGTTTTTCGGACTAAAAGAAAAGCTTATGGTACTATTGAGAGACATAAGGCAAGGTTAATGGCAAAAGGGTTTAATTAAGTGTCTGGCCAGGATTTCTTTGACACATTCAGTTCGGTGGTAAAACCTACAATTGTAAGACTCCTTTTGTCTTTAGCCTTATCTTCGGGATGGGCTATCAGGCAATTAGATGTCCATAATGCATTCTTGAATGGTAATCTTGCTGAAACTGTTTATATGAAGCAACCTCCTGGATATGTTGATACTGATTTTCCATCTCATGCCTGCTTGCTAAAGAGATCTCTATGTGGATTAAAGCAGGCCCATAAAGCCTGGTTTAATCGTTTGCATGCCTTTTTATTATCAGTTGGTTTTCAAGCATCCAAAATAGATGTTTCTCTATTCTTTTATTCTAAGGATTCTGCCTTAGTCTATCTATTGGTTTACGTGGATGACATTCTTTTAATGGGAAGCGATCAGGTTCTAGTTTCCCATTTAATATCAAAACTATCAAATGCTTTAAAAATCAGGGATCTTGGTGAGCTAAATTTGTTTATGGGTATTGAGACTGTTAAATGCAATGATGGTATTATTTTATCTCAGCAAAGGTATATGAATGATATTCTTAAACGTGCTGGAATGGCTGAGTGCAAACCTCTTTCTACTCCTATCCCTGTTTTGAAACTTGATCCATTCAGTGTAGATTCATATGATGATCCTACACAATACAGGAGTCTTGCGGGGGTTTTACAATATCTCACAGTCACGCGCCCTGATTTATCCTTTGCAGTCAATCAGCTCTGTCAACATATGCATGCCCCCACCGTATCACACTGGGAACAACTCAAGCGTGTGGTCAGGTATGTCAAGGGCACTCTCGGCCTCGGGTTGCACAATCGACAGTCCAGTTCAAAGGAAATTCATACCTTTTCTGATTCGAATTGGGCTGGTTGTCCAGAAGATCGTAAGTCCACGAGTGGGTATGCAGTGTTTTTGGGCACTAATCTTATATCTTGGGTTTGCAAGAAACTGAGAACCGTTGCTAGATCCTCCACTGAAGTTGAATATAAAGCTCTAGCTAATGTTTGTGCTGAGATTTTATGGATCATGTCATTATTACGAGAGATATAGGTGCCGGCAATTTCAACTCCAAAGCTATGGTGTGATAATCTAGGAGCTACCTATATGAGTGCTAATCCAATTTTTCATGCTCGTACCAAACATGTGGAAATTGATTATCACTTTGTTCACGACAGGGTGGCCTCAGGTGACATTCAAGTCAATTTTATATCTACAAAAGATCAACTTGCTGATATATTCACCAAAGCTTTGCCTGGTCCTAGGTTTTCTTCACTTAGAGACAAGCTACAAGTTACTAGTGTACCATGTGCTTGAGGGGTGAGTATTAGGACTCTATGTATCTGAGTCAATCTAGAACTCCTACTCCTAGTTACTATGTGACTCTTTATTGTATATATTCTCATCACCAGAACTCATTGTAATTATGTTCTGTTAATACAATTCCATCAGTTCTCATCAATGCCAACTTATTATACTTAACACTAACAAAAAATGTTTGGACATTTTGTCTACAAAAATATGATATAAAACATTAAGAACACAATGTACAAAAAGATCAACACTATAAAAAATGGACATAAATCAAGGATATAATCTGAATTAATACTTATGATAGTGTTAATTGCCACGTAAGCAGAAATAAATAAACACAAGACCAATTAAAGCAATTAAATGTCTTTTATTGATCAAGGTGAAGACCTTAAGTACAATCTAAATGGCTGTTCTGAGTACCGACTGACTGCGGTCGGGATTCTCTAGTAACAACCTATCGATCGTCCAAAAGCCCCCCACACTGTTGCTATCGCGGGTATTTATAGCCGTGGAGCCGGAGACACAAGTCCGGCCGTCCGGCATGTCGCCCACGTAGCAACCACGTGTCGTCCTCCCGGGTGCCCTGCCTGTCAGCACGTAGCGTTGCCACGTGTCTCTTCTCAACTCTCTCGCCTAAGGGCTACCGATCAGTGGTCGACAACGCCGGTCGGGTGCTACCCGGTCGGGAACCGACCGGGTTCTTCTAAGAAATCCGACCTGTAACTCGCATAAATAAGAATAAAAGGACAAAGGCATGTCGGTCGGGGTATTCCCTACCAACTTACTTATTATGTTTTTAAACTCTTAGGGAGGGAAAGCCCATTGATTGCGATTCATTACTTTAATTCTTCTTTAACTGTCCAATCTCCACTTATTATGTTGCAACTGTTGAGCAGGTAGTGAAGAAGATTGCAATCTTTAATTGCTACTCCGTGCTATGAAAGATGAGCAGAGGAAAAAGGGGTTATGATTGCGATTCTTATGCAATGGAAAATGAGTGGAGGAAAAGAGAGATTGTATTATACTAAACGGTAACCTATTCTATTTAACACTGACAAAATATGTTTGGGCATTTTTGTCTACAAAAATATGATGTACAACATTAATAACACAATGTACAAAAAGGTCAATACTAAAAACAGTGGATATAAATCAGAGATATAACCTGAATTAATACTTATTATGCTTTTTGATTAGATTAGATATGTTGTATTTAATTATTGTAATTTTTTGCAGTGGCTTAAGAATGTAATAAAACTTTAGTAAATGTTTAATTATATAATATAATATATGGAAAAATTGTAATTTATACCCCTCCATAATATGTCAATTATCAATGTCACTCATTAATTATTAGTGATGCAATTGCCCTTTAATTTTCAAAATGGTACATATATTGTCCTCCCATAGTGTAAATGCTGCCCATCAATTTCCTCACGTACGGTACGGGAGGGGCAATATATGTACCATTTTAAAAATTTATGGGCAATATTTACACACTAATAATTCAGGAATGACATGAATAAGTTTTTTTCCTCTCGCTATCTTCGCGAGTTTGTCGTACCCTCTCTAGGGTTTTGCCTATCGCCGTTTTTTCTTCTCCTCCGGCCGTTTTACGGGCTGACGTTCTTCGAGCGTTGGTCATGGCTGCTACTGAGATCACGGATTTGTGTACGAATCTGACGTTAGCAGATGTCGACGATGAGGATAATACTATGTACGTTCCACATACAAATATGGAGCATGCAGATGTTGATGACGGAATTTACGTTGTTGGCCGGTTGGTGACTGAGAAATTGGTCCACTTTGTCTTCTTTCAAGACACTATGGCTTCGATTTAGAGACCTGTGATGGGGTGAATACGCGTGAGTTACAACCTCGTATTCTCAACCAAGGACCTTGGACTTTCGAGCAACGTCTTCTGATTATGAAACGTGTACTGCCAGGGGAGGATCCTGAAACAATCCCCCTTACACATGCTGACTGGTGGGTATAGATCCATGCTCTTCCAGTTGGGTTTCGATCTGAGGCCATTATCACCGCCATTGGATCTTTCTTGGGTACGTTAGTTCAGATTGATGAATGTAATTTTGACGGAGGAATGAAGACCTTTTACCGGGCACGGGTGCTGATAGATGTTTCCAAACCTTTGAATAAGCAGATGAAACTCAAGAAGGAGAACGACAGTTGGGCTTTTATTGATTTCAAGTACGAAAGGCTCCCTACTTTCTGCTTTTTGTGTGGAGTGATTGGTCATGGTGAAAAGTATTGCAGCCTTGCATGGTTTGGATCCAAAAGCTGAAAAACCATATGGCGCATGGTTGAGAGCCGGGTCGAGGAGGGGGACCTCGTCTAACGGGCAGCGCTGGATACCGCCTGAAACTACAGCTAAGCGAAAGACTTAGACTTCCCCAGTCATGGATTCTGCTGTGGACGATGGTACCAGTCGAGGGGAGGCTAAGGGGGCTGATTCAGAACCGTTTGTAGATAGTGAACAAGCTCCAAATCTGGTTGTAGCTGAGTAAAAACGAAGAATGGTGGATGATGCATCTGTCAATCTGCTGGGCCAGTCTTCGGATATGGACTATGAAACATCTGTGCCAAAAAACGGGGTGGAAGCGGGAATTGCGGGGCAAGCCCGCCTAGAATTATGAGTCTCTTAAGTCGGAATTGTCGAGGGCTTGGCAACCCAACGGCAATTCGTGTCTTAGCGGATATTATCCGCACGAAGAGGCCAAAAGTGGTTTTTCTGATTGAAACGTTCTTGGATAGTCAGCGGATGGAACCAATACGAGTGCAGTTGGGTTTTCATAAAATGTTTGTAGTGGATGCACATGGACATAGTGGTGGTCTTGTTCTTTTGTGGCACGAGGCAGTCGAGGTTGAAGTTACGGGGTATTCATCCAACCACATTGATACAACAGTGATGCTAGACACGGGCAGTCCCAAGTGGAGGTTTACTGGTTTCTACCGGTACCCGGAATGAGCGCGTAGAAGGGAGTCATGGGAGTTTTTAAAAACTCTTCCCGGACTAAGCACTTTGCCGTGGGTTATTATGGGGGACTATAACGACATTCTCCATCAATTTGAGAAGAGAGGGCGGAACCAACACCCGAATTGGTTAATTGTTGGGTTCAATGAAGTAGTAGCAGATTGTGGTCTTATGGATTTTCTGTTTCATGGTAACCAATTTACCTGGGTGCGATCTCGGGGGACCCCAGCCATGATCGAGGAAAAGCTGGATAGGGTGTTGACAACAGACTCCTGGGTGAATCTTTTCAATGGCGCTATAGCGTGTTCTTTAACCTGTCCTTACAGTGAACATTCACCTTTTCTCCTTACACCAGTGAGGGTTCTGATTGGGGCTAAGCGGCATCACTTCTGTTTCGATAACATGTGGCTTCGAGAAGACCGGTGCAGGGAGATTATTGATAACAGCTGGAGCTATACCATGGGGTTGGATGTTCTGGATCGTATAGCTATTTGTGGCATGGATATTTGGCAATGGGGGAAAACTTACAATAAAGAGTTCCATCGCAATATCGAGGCCTGTAAGCAGCGGCTTGAGAGGCTCAGATTATGCCAGGATGATGTTGGTTTCGTGGAGTATAGCCGTACTGAGAAGGAGTTGTTAACTTTGTTAGAATAACAACACGTATACTGGAAACAACGTGCAAAGGAGCATTGGTATCGTGGTGGCGACTTAAATACTAAATATTTTCATAATTCTGTGAATACTAGAAAGCGCCAGAACAGAATTAAACTCTTGCGGAAGGATGATGGGGCTGTTGTGGATATTGTAAATGGTATGGGGGAGGTGATGGTAGATTATTTTACAAATCTGTTTACCTCCTCTTCTCGCGATATGGAGGAGGTCTTAGAATGCATTACATCACGTCTGGACGAAGGGGCGAATGCAAAGCTGCTAAGAACGGTCAGTGCGGAAAAGGTGCGACATGCCGTGTTTCAAATGCACCCCGACAAGTCCCCGGGACCGGATGGTCTTGGGCCTCGGTTTTTTCAGCATTATTGGGATATCGTAGGCAGTGATGTAAAGCAGTTTTGTAGAAACATCATCCAATCGGCCAAGTTGCCTGCAAAAGCAAATGACACTTATATCATTTTGATCCCGAAGAAATCTAGCCCGGATTGCATGAAGGATTTGAGACCTATTGCTTTGTGTAATGTTCTATACAAAATTGCATCAAAAGTATGTGCGAATCGGCTGAAACTAGTGTTGGATGGGTTAATAAATGGGGCTCAGGGTGCCTTTATCCCGAGGCGTCTAATAACCGACAACATTATGGTGGCTTATGAAGCTCATCATTATTTGAAGAGGAAATCCCAAGGGAAAAAGGGTCTGGTAGCCCTGAGGATTGATATGAGCAAGGCTTATGACCGTGTCGAGTGGAAGTTCCTTCAAGGGGTGATGTTGAGAATAGGGTTTGATCAGAAGTGGGTTGACATTATGACTGAAACGGTGTGCTCGGTGAAATACCATGTCCTGCACGAGCAATGTCATTTTGGCCCGATCCTTCCGGGTCGCGGGCTAAGACAAGGTGACCCGTTATCTCATTACATTTTCCTTTTTATTGCGGAAGGATTAAGCGTTTTCATTGAAAGGTAGATTAATAGGAGAACATTGCATGGGGTGTATGTCGCGCGAGGGCCGCCACCACTGTCACTTTTGCTGTTTGCGGATGATTGTTTTTTTTTTTCTTGTTAATACCGCAGATAATGCCACAATGAAGCGAGTTTCGGATGTCTATGCTACTGCTTCGGGTCAGCAAATAAACTACGACAAATCTATGATTTGTTTTAGCTCTAATGCTCAGCATTATGTCCGTGGTGAAGTTGCTAGCTTACTGGGGGTGAGGGAATGTGATACTTCTGGGAAATACTTGGGACTCCCATCTCTAGTAGGGAGAAAGAAAAATGAAATACTTGCTTCTTGAAGGGCAAGGTTTTGAATAAGATAAGAAGTTGGAATGCCAGGTTTCTGTCCAGAGCAGGGAGAGAGGTTGTTTTGAAGAAAGTTGTTCAAGTTATGCCCTCTTACGCTATGATGGTGTTCTTGCTACCTTTGGGTCTGTTCAAGGAGATAGAAACTTTGATGAATGAGTATTGGTGGATAGGCAATATCGGTAATGGCAAAGGGATCCGGTGGAGAAGCTGGGAGGGTATTTGTATCCCTAAAACGCGTGGTAGCATGGGTTTTCGTCGGATCAATGAGATGAACTTGGCCTTACTTGGAAAGCAAGCTAGGAGAATTCTTACGAAGTCGGATTCTATGATGATCCGGATATACAAGGCTCGATACTTCCCTACGAGCTCGTTCTTTGATGCAAAGCCGGGGGGTAATCCATCATATGTTTGGAGGGGAATGCTAGAGGTCCAAGACATTCTGCGACAGGGGTGTAGAAGATGTATCGGGGATGGCAAAACGACCACAATCAGGAAAGATCCCTGGCTGCCGGACGGGTTAAACCCTTATGTAACGACACCGCTGCATGATTCGATCGCCACTGCCCCGGTTTCCTCTTTATTTAATGCCAATGGAACTGGCTGGGACCTTGAGTGTGTGCAGGATGTTTTTGAGCACCGGGATGCTGCCTTAATCACGAACCTCCCACTGAGTAGCAGGCTCCCTCCTAACTCGTGGTTCTAGACAGCTGATCATAAAGGGAACTACACGGTTCGCTCTTGTTATCGACGGCAAATGGGAGAAGCATCTGATATGCGTCCATGGGCGAAGGTTTGGAGTCTGCAGGTTCCCCCTAAGGTGAGAAGTTTTTGTTGGCAACTAGCCTCACAGTACTTAACATCTCGTGACATCCTTAATGGTAAGCTTGTTCATTGTTTGTTGATGTGTCACCTATGCCGGCAGCAAGAGGAATCTGCAGTCCATTTGTTCGCAACCTGCAGCGAAGTGAAGAAGATCTAGAGTGCGCTGAACCTCCCGATCACATCCATTAATCCTGGTAATGTCTCCAGATGGTTTTTTGAGAACCTAAATACATGCATTAAATGGAGATTGTGTGAGTAAGTTTGCAATGGCATGTTGAGGTATCTGGTGTAGCAGGAATGATTATGTGTGGAAGAATGCGGCTTATTCAATGGATTCTATGCTACGTTCTGCTATGTCACTTTAGAGCAACTGGAATGGTGTTAATGAGCAGGAGGCACCGGTTAGTAACCATACTGCTGAAGAGCTTTGGAAACCACCTTCACATAGCCGCCTCAAGTTAAATACGGATGTTGCCATGGAGTCTAACAGTGGTTCAATGGGCATGGGATGGATTGTAAGATATGAAATGAGTGTTCTTGTGGCTGCCAAGAGCTCATCGGTTTCAGGTTACTTTGATGTCAAGGATGCCGAAGCGATGAGCATTCGCGAAGCTCTAAGCTGGGTAAAGGCTTTGGGCTATGGCGACATCGATGTGGAAACTGATTCCCAGATTGTTTTTTATGCTTTGTCTTCTATTTCATATAACTCTCCTTTTAGCTTATTAATTGATGATGTTAAAGAGGCTGCATCCTAGATGCGTGATGTATCTTTCGTTTTGCTAGGCGATCTGCGAATCGCACTGCCCATGCTCTTGCTAGGGAGGCCGTTTCTTTGTCAGGTTGCGGGGAGTGGTCCCATACCCCACCTCATTTTCTTGTGAACATTCTTGGTTCTAATATAATGCATTAAGCTTTTCTTCTCAAAAAAAATAATAATTCAGGAATGACATTGATAATTGACATATTATGAAGGGGCATAAATTACAATTTTCCCTATAATATAATGTATACTTACCAATTCAAAAATAAAGCCCATCAATTCAATTTCTAAAAATGTAATAGTTTGTAATAGATTTTTACAAATTTATTAATAATTAATGAAGATAAAAATAAATATATGCATCATTGATGAAGAATATAAATAATTGTATGTGATCTTATATCAGAAGTTGTACGGAGTAACTTGTAAGTCATGGTTTAAGTGTTGTACTTGCACAATGTTTTTAGTATCGCTGCACAAGTACATCAATCATTATTGCGTAGATCATAGTTTACACTTTTGTATATGTTATAATAATATTATTAGTAATTAAACCAAGTCAAAGAATTTAATAAAAACAAACATGGGTGAGTCATGTATGTTAATGTGGAACATGCCTAAATTATAGGAGTAGTACATGGAGCATTAGCTTCCTGTTTATTAGCTTTCTCTTAGTATAAATATGTGGTGTATTTTCATTTGTTAAATCATCCCAGTGAATAAACATTATTCATTCTAATCTTCCTCTCTCTCTCTCTTCCTATTTATATATTATTATATATAAATACATAGATATATTATATATAATATATATATTATATTTAATATATCTTACATTTGGTATCAGAGCCAGTCAACCTTCAACCCCGAAATATTTCCCGTAGTGAAATATGGCAACAAATTTCAATATTGTATGGTCGGGTCCCAAATTGGACGGGAAACTCGATTACAATTATTGGCAAATTATGATGTCCACACATTTGCAAGCTCAAAATCTTTGGAGCTTTGTTGATCCCGGTCTACCTGAAGGAGCTAATGCAGCCGCTATACGGCGAGATAAATTGGCCTTGGGTCAGATTCACCAAGGTGTTCATTATTCCATTTTTGGGCAATTAGCTTGTGCTCAAACAGCAAAACAAGCTTGGGACATCTTAAAGGTGTCACACAAAGGAGTTGATCGGGCGCAGAAGTCTAAGTTGCAGTCGTTGAGAAGGTTGTACGATAATTGTGAGATGACCTCTACAGAAACAGTAGATGCGTATTTCACTCGTCTTATTGATATGGTGAATAAGATAAGGCTATATGGAGATACGATTGAAGATGGTGCAGTGGTTGAAAAAGTTCTTCGAACTATGCCGATGAAGTATGACCATGTGGTGGCTTCAATAACAGAGTCACACAAAACCGAGCTCTTATCAATTGCAGAGCTGAAAGGTATGGTAGAAAGTCATATTGACAGGACTGCGTCAAAATCGGAACCACTAGCTGAAGAAGCTTTGAAGAGTCAAGTCACCCTTAATGTGACTGGCACTAATCAAAGAGGTGGAGGATCTGGTAGAGGTCGTGGAAGAGGAAGAAGAGGTTCTGGTGGAAGAGGTCGTGGTAACTTCAACCAAGGAGGAGGACGTGGTAACTCCAACCAAGGAAGAGGTGGAGGTAATACCAAACAAGGTAAATTTCCATTTCATTGCTACAATTGTGGCAAGTATGGGCACAAGATTGCAGATTGTTGGTATAATGAGGACAACAATCGTGGAAATCAAGCAAATATTGCTGAAAACACTACTGAAAAGTCTGGTGAGAGTTCTGAAACCTTACTTTTTGCCAGCAATAGTTTTTCTGCAGATAAGAACATATGGTTCTTGGATACTGGGTGTAGTAACCATATGTGTGGGAAGAAAGAATTGTTTTCTGAACTAGATGAATCAGTCCGGTCTGAAGTGACATTTGGCAATAAGTCAAAGGTGCCAATTTTGGGAAAAGGTAAAATCTCTATTCAGTTGAAGGATGGTACTCACAATTTTATATCCGATGTGTTCTATGTTCCTGAACTACACCAAAATTTGTTGAGTATGGGTCAGTTGTCAGAAAAAGGATATAAGATACATATTGCTCAGGGGTGTTGTACCATTGAAGATGCTAAAGGAGTTTTGATTGCAAAGGTAAATATATCCCAAAATCGACTATTTCCATTGAAAATTAAGCATACTCTCCTTGCTTGCTTTAATTCTGAAGTTTGTGATGATAATTGGTTATGGCATATGCGATTTGGGCATTTCCATTTCTCTGGGTTAAACTATCTTGCGAGAAAGGAACTTGTTTCTGATTTACCTGTTGTGAATGTCCCTGATCGTATATGTGAGATTTGTGTGATTGGGAAGAAGCATAGAGATCCCTTTCCCGTGGGCAAGTCAAGGAGAGCTACAAAATAGTTGGAGATTGTTCACTCAGACCTGTGTTCATTGGAGGTTCCCTCACATGGAGGTTGTAAGTACTTTATTACTTTAATTGATGATTTTAGTAGGAAAACATGGGTTTACTTTTCGAAGCAAAAGTCTGAAGCATGTGATGTTTTCAAACAATTTAAGGCTTTTGTTGAGAAGCAAAGTGGTTATGAGGTTAAAATCTTGAGAACTGATAGAGGTACATAATATATTGCCTGTGATAATTTTCTGAAAGAGAAGGGCATTTAGCACCAAATGACAGCTAGATACACTCCACAACAAAATGGAGTGGCTGAGAGGAAGAATAGATCTATCATGGATATGGTGAGGTGCATGTTGAAATCTAAGAACCTGCCTAAGCCTTTTTGGGCAGAAGCTGTTGCTTGTGCTGTCTATGTGTTGAATAGGTGTCCAACTAAAAGTGTCCGTGATAAGATGCCCGAAGAAGCTTGGAGTGGGAGAAAACCCTCTATCAAATATCTCAAGGTTTTTGGATGTTTGGCATATGCACATGTGCCAGATCCATTGAGAAAGAAGTTGGATGATAAAGGTGAGAAATGCATATTCATTGGTTATAGTGACGCTTCAAAGGCTTATAAACTATACAATCCTGAAACTAAAAAGGTTGTTATAAGTCGTGATGTCACTTTTGATGAATATGGAGCCTGGGATTGGTTAGCTAAAGATGAAAGTTCAGTTGTTATTCTTGCTGTTGAAAATATTGTTGAAGAGCAACCGATTCCAGATAATGTCCAGTCTCCTTCACAGCCAGAGTCATCAGTTCGGCGATCTCAGCGCGAGCGCCACTTACCAGCTCGCTTGCAAGATTATGTTTTGGGTCATGATAATGACCTGTCTGATGAAGAGATTATTCAATTTGCTCTCTTTGCAGATTGTGATCCTTTAACTTTTGAGGAGGCTGCTACAGAAACTCATTGGCTTAAGGCGATGGATGAGGAGATACGTGTCATTGAAAAGAATGGTACCTGGGAGTTAACAGATTTACCTCCTGGGAAGAAGCCAATTGGAGTCAAGTGGGTTTACAAAACGAAATACAAGTCAGTATATCCAACTTGAAGACGGAGACATTTTTTCAAATTGAAGAAGGAAATTGGGATGACCAATATATCCAACTTGGTTTAAAGGAGGCAATGTTATAATAATATTATTATTAATATTATTAGTAATTAAACCAAGTCAAAGAATTTAATAAAAACAAACATGGGTGAGTTATGTATGTTAATGTGGAACATGCCTAAATTATAGGAGTAGTACATGGAGCATTAGCTTCCTGTTTATTAGCTTTCTCTTAGTATAAATATGAGGTGTATTTTCATTTGTTAAATCATCCCAGTGAATAAACATTATTCATTCTAATCTTCCTCTCTCTCTTCCTATTTATATATTATTATATATAAATACATAGATATATTATATAATATATATATATTATATTTAATATATCTTACAGTATAGATTATAGTCTAAAAACACATAAAGTATATTATTTTAACACATAAAGTATATAATTTTACCTTAAAAATTTTATTATTCTAACACATAAAGTATATTATACATTATTCTAACACATAAAGTACATTATTCTAACAAATAAAATACATTATCTTACTCCAAAAATTTTATTATTCTAACACAAAATATATTATTCTAACACATACATATTATACATTATACTAACTCATAAAATACATTATTTTATCCTAAAATTTTCATTTTTTAACATGCACGTGAACCAATGATTTTTGACGTAGTTTTGGACTTTGATCCACATTGCTGATCTGACAATACTTTGCCACAAGCACATTCCTTGTAAACATTACATTGTATACAAGGTGATGTACATGCATCTAAATATATGCTAAAATTAAATTGATTAGTTTGAAACTCTTGATATGAAATTGGAATGATTCATTAAAAAAATAATTTAATTGAAATAATATTGTCATGCATCTTTTAATTTAGTGTATTTTATCCTGTTAGTTATTATCGGCAAATTATGCTGTGGAACTGTCTCCACCTGTAAGGTGAACACGGTTCCAAAAGTCTTCATAATTATAAATATATAGTTTAAAAATTATGAATATATAGTTTTATAATTATGAACATAGAGTTGACATAATTATGAACATATAATTTTGTAATTATGAATATATAGATTCAATAATTGTGAATATGAAGTTAAAAAATTATGAATATATAGCTTTATAATTATGAATATAGAGTTTTCTAATTATGAATATAGAGTTCAATAGATATGAGTATGAAGTTCAAAAATTATGACTATATAGCTTTATAATTATGAACATATTGTTGAGTATTTATGAACATAGAACTGTGTCCACCTTATAAAGTGGATACAGTTCCACAGCATAAGGATTGGTTATTATCACTGTAACATCTATTTCTAGTTATACTTTTTGGTACAATATTTATTACTAAATATAAAAAGAAAATAACTTGAGAGTTTGAAACATGCGTTTATGTCAAAATCATTGAGAGAGCTGTCCAAGAGGATATCAACTACGTCTAA